TCTGCTGCCATCCGAACCATGTCTGAGCGTCTTCCTTGGCACCTGCTCTGCTTCAGGCGCTATTTCAGTCGACCAGTGGCACAATTGTTTCTCAATTGAGTCGTGTAAGTCACTACATTTTTAACCAAAGTGCTATTGTCTGCAACACAGCAGAAAAGGCTAATTGTCCTTATTCATTAGTACGAGAAAGAGCCAGGGATTCGAAGGTCATGCGGTTCAGCCTTCAGTTAAAAAACTTAATAAATGCCGTATTGTTAACTGAATTACGAAAGGAATAACCAGGATTTTGACATTAGTCAATACAGCCAACTGTCGTGACCTAATTTTAGCCATGGTTATGCTATTGCATTTTCTTTTTCGCTTTACAAATCGGCATCCGTGCACATTTTGCCAATTTCCTGCTTGTCCATCATGTTCCTCACCACGAGTGGATCAAATACCATTGCTTCATGCTTGAACAAAAACCTAGCGTTTATTAAATCTGACCCAAAGTCAGGTTGCATAATGTGAATGAGCGATTTTATTACAGCAACTGTTTATACAGGACATATACAAAGCCTGTACAGCCCACCTGAGTCTATTTCTGTGAGTAAGCAAGGGCTATGTTCCAAAAATGGGAAAAGCCAATTTTATGATGTACCGATTATGGCTCATGGCTTCCTGGAAAAGTATTTTTAGAAACCGCTCCACAAGTCAAGATAAGGAAATAACTCTTGTAGAAATAGGGAGGAAAGTTTACTTTATGGAGTGATAGTGGCCAAACTTAACTCGTATCTGCCTTTATTTTATTTTTTTATATTGTAGCTGAACGCATGGACTGCAGCAACTTCAAATAAAAACCTTCCTACCCTTGATTTCGAATATACGGAGCCGACAGAGCATCGTATGGCTAACTGGGCTTTCTACTCGCCTGTTCGTCCGTCCACATTTTTGCTTGTTCGTCCGCCCGTCTGTGAGTTTGGTTGTCTGACTGTCCTGTTTAATTGTCGGCCTTGATGCCAAGCTTCAACAATCACACATCCAACCACCAATAAAGTCATAAAGTGAGTCGGCATTAAGCTCGTTATAAAGTTAATGGAGCTTTGTTCTTCCTAAAGCCCAGTGAATTACGCAAAACTCTAGTCTATCTGATAAAGCGCCAACTTATTATCAACACGACGAGTGGCACAGCTTGATTTCTTTGCAAATTCGTCTTTAAGGAACATATTTTACCTTTTTGACTTAGGTTCATATGCCTCTGAGAATGGTTTCAAATATTCTAGGCACAACTTAGGTATCGTTTTGAGTATGTTTTCACGAATTCAACTACCAGTCCT